ACGTATTCATACATTGTAACACTGAAGGCAAACTATATGTATGAATTTTTAATTAATAAACATTCTGGAATTTGTTTACAAATAAAAAAAGTTTAATATTATTACTTTATTAAACACATTTTTTACCAATAAGAGGGTAAAAGGCAAAATAACAATTACAATTAACAACAATATAAGTATAACAATTAATAAAGATAAAATTAAAAAAAATATATTAAACACACAACACGATAAATGACTTCAAGTGCCCTCTGTCCTCAGTTCTATAGACTGTTTAATAAAGGAGTCTTAGGATTTCACTTGATCTATAGAATATATTTCATTTTGTTGTCAGAAAAATCTTTTAATATTGTCATTAACCAAAATAAGAAGTGATATCTTTTTAGGACAAACAATACGTCAATGAGTGAAATCAAAACTTCAAAATCGTCAGATACAGGATATATGATTAATTTTTATATTCTTTTAAACACTTCAAATTAATCACACGATATTGTGTCTAGAGTACTTAACCTTGACCTGAACAACTAGTGACCTAAAATAGGTGTAAAAACAGGAAGCAATAAACAAGTAAATATGTTTTTTGTTTCTAAAAGTCGCCTTATATTTACTTCAGAATATAGAAAATTCCATAATACAAATGCGTTTTGGTTTATGTAAAAGGACAAATACATTGAAGGACAATGTCGGGTATTTGGTATGTGCGGATGCCAGAATTAAAAGAATCTCAAATATGTACAATTTACTTATAATTCTTCCATACAAAAATAAAACATTTTAATGATATGTTAAATATATAAGTCAAACACAATCCTATACAATTTAAGACTGGCCTAGGTATTGTTGCTACCAGTGGCGGATCCGCGGAGCGTAGAGGGCGTACGCCCCCAACCACACTTTGATCGCCAAAAAAAAATCTCACGTTCTTCACGATATCTATAATTTTTTAGTAAAAAATCGTCCAAAACAAAATTTACATCCGTAATAATGATGGCGGCATGGCACCGTTTTTTTTAATCAGTCTTTTTCATTATGGCATAGGCAACATATGATATAAATAGCAAAATTTCCTTGCTACCTTTTTAGGTCCAAACCATTGTATGGTGTCGATGAATCGGAAAAAACAGTTGCGACTGTCATACAAGTGAGAGTTTTAGCTAGCTATAAAACCAGGTTTAATCCACCATTTTCTACATAAGGAAATGCCTGTACCAAGTCAGGAATATGACAGTTGTTTTCCATTCATTAGATGTGTTTGAGCTTTTGATTTTGCCATTTTATAAAGGACTTTCCGTTTTGAATTTCCCTTGGAATTCGGTATTTTTTGTTATTTTACTTTTTTCTGATGCTTTCAAATGTTTGCATTTGAGTAATGTTTCGTATGCTTGTGATTTTACATTTGTTCTTACGATTTTCTTGAATTATTTTGATACTATTGTTTGGTTTCCAGTAGAAAGTCATTCATTTTACCTAACTTATTTACTCTTTTTAACGTTATATCAAACACTGGCTTGTTCAAAATTATAGTATGATGTGATCTATTTCTACCTTCAACTTTTTGGGGATATACCGTGAATCATAATCGTTGACGTCATTACTGACCTAAAAATTTGCTGACAAAGGAGTGTTCCTGTTTACGATTGTAAATATTTATAATATATATATATGTATATATAAAAGTCACTGTACTATATTATGTCGCTTTTTATTATCACCGCTTAGTCTTGGATAAAAAGTTCTACGTTTCTTTATACAAACAGGATACTAAATTGTAAGATTATAATTACGTAACGATAGATATTGAAATCTTGCGAAAAATCCTTTCTAAAATATATTAAGGGCCCTTTAATCAAACTTGTTGTTTAGAATGAAAGAAACACTGGGATTAGGTGGTGTATACATGTATATTTTTATTTGCAGTATGAGAGATTATTCAGGAATCTTCAGCACTTGGTCGGTACCACTGGTAGTTGACTGTAAGTCCACGAAGGTATCATCAGATCAGTGGTCTGTGCTTCTTTACTGAAATTATTTATAACATTCTTTTTAAAGATTTATGTACCGTAATGATTAAACAAAAAATCTTAGAGAACTGAGGTTCAAACATTTAAAGGTAGAGTTGACCTTACGTCGATTTTAGATTTTATGGTTAGTTCCCTTTTGGTAATATAGCATCTAATTACGTATTCATGTACATGTATTTACACATCCATGGCTGAAAAACTTTTGGATTTAAGCGTTCCTCACAAAAGTTAATGCAGAAAAGCGCTTCATCTCACCAAACTTATGGATCAAAATTTATGATTGTTATTATCACTCACTATTATTGAGTCTGTACCGCCATTAATGGACTGCTAGTCTCCGATATATCATCTGCTCAGTAGTCAGTACTTATAATCGGATATGTTTTATAACATAATTTGATTAAACTCAACGTTGATGAATTTATAAATTATTTAAGAAAAAAAGTTCCAGCTCCCTCAAACAATGTTGAACTTGGATGGATTTAATTTTTCTTTATATGTCCCATTTGGTCTAACAGCTCGTCTTGTTTTAAATAGGTATACATACACATTCTTGGCTTTAATCTCTCGATTTGAGCGTTTATGTCGAAGGTTAATCCTGGAAAGCGTTTTGAGCGCACCAAATTTTATCGTGCTATTTTATTACAATGTTTACGTAGCTCTGGGTCGATACCGCTGATGGACTGCTAGTCTCCGAGGAGGGTATCGTCAGCTCAGTAGTCAGTGAGTTCGGTACTGCCATGATTTATAACATACCATTATGAAATTCACCGTTTTTTAATTTAGAATTTATAAGGAAGCTAAGGTTCCAACTCCATCAGGCAGAGTTGACTTTAGCTGGATTTGGCTATTCTTTTTAAGCCCCTTTTGGTCAAGCATTCAGGTTTTTATATATTCTTTGAATTCTAACTCTTTAGTGTGAGCTTTCCTAACGAACTTCAAGGTAATTCGAGAAAATTGCTTCTGACGTTATTTACATTTCATGTGGTCTGAAGAACACACTTTGTTGTTTTGTAACATTATAGTTCTTTGGCAAGTTCTTATATACCTACATGTATACATCTCTAGAATTCTTAAAACAATTTAACGTCACTGATGAGTCTTTTGTAGACGAAACGCACGTCTGACGTACATACAAAATTTCAATCCTGGTATCTATGATGAGTTTATTTAAAACAGCTATAGATGCAAGTTATGTAGGTGTTCAGACAGTCTTACATCTAGAGGGTCAAAATAACGGTGATCATCAAGTGAATGATACTTTTCAACAAAATTTGATAAACATCCAAAGATTTATTCAACTATCGAGAAAGAACATTTGCTATTTTGATTCGCGCGTCACTGATGAGTCTTTTGAAGGACAAAATGCGCGTCTGACGTACAAAAGTTTATTCCTGATACATCTGTATCTATGATGAGTTTATTGTTGACTTTACATCTTATATCGTCTACTACTGATTAATGAACCACATTCCTTAACAGAAATTAAAAAAAGATTTATAAGGTGATGTTTAATTTAACAACTAGCTCAATCTGGATATAAGATACATATCTAACGTTAGCAGCAGCGGTACAGGTTTCTTTATTTTCATAATATTTTTTAGACATATGCTTCAGATAGGTTAGATTGATGTTTCTCACCAACTAGTTTTACGCCCCCACGATCTCATGGATATCTACCGTATTCGTTATTATTATCTTTTTTTTTAGAAGGGTCTGTTATACTTTCTGCAATGGAGACATTTTCGGTATAGGTTGCAGAGCGTCTGTGGCCATCCGTCTTGCAGAGAACTTCAATTTCTATAATATGTCGTTTTTGGTCAAACAAACACCGCAATAATGATTTAAACAGATCAAATAGAATCGATATTCTTAACTACTGTTTTATGACCTTCTTAAGATATAGATATAACAAGATCTTTTAAATATAATGAATATTAACGGAGATTTTTAATCTAAATTTGCCTACAAAATATAACAAATATGGCATATTTTGACATTTTTATGAGAGGGAAAAATTAAGCATTGCCAAACAAAAGAACAAACATATTTATATGAGAGATGTTGCTCGCAGACTCACAAACATCGCGGTATTTTTTTTTTAATGTTAGTAACATGTGGTCTATATTTATTGTTCAAACACTATTTGAAGATTGTTTAAATTCTGTGCATTTTTCATGTAACACGTATAGAAGGCTCTCTTTAAAACGTCATATATTAGTACACCAATTTAATGTCTTGGATCATTAACTACCCGATTTGGTTTTGTATTCCCTCAAATTTGAAATAAAAATAATACGGCGACATGTACTTGTTTCATTCTCGTTGTTTGGTCTCAAGAGAAATTTAAGTTGTCTCAATGGTATTCGTACCACACCCCTGTTTTTGCAATGATATGTTGACTTATAGATAAATACATTCGACACGACAGCACAGTTAACAAAGTTACTATAGCTTTCAAGTCCATACATATTTGTACACAATCAACAATTGACTATTTGATTACTGATTACTGCGATACCATCCCAGATGAAAGTTGAGTTTTTAACTATAAACAACTGTTATACAAGTTTGATTTTGTCAGTTTTTATTGGTTTTCCCCTTTTTAAATTTACCTTGGAGTTCGGTAATTTTGTTATACTTATTTGAATAATGATTTTAGACAGCAAGTAGACCCAGCAGTATACAGTAAATTGTTGTTCTTAAAGAGACTTAATCAGTTACAAGTCTATAAGTATTTCGGAAAAATTATATTCATACTCGTGTTTCGTAGTTTAGTGTTGTCTCTAATCTCTTTTGGATATTAGGTGATCGGTTGTACTTCAGTGCACGGTATTTTTATTCTTATTAGTGTGTTAGTTTTGTAAGCACTTGTTTAAAACTATAGTATTCATTATCATCATATTTTGTTTAAAAAAATGCTTGAAATCTAAAACTCCATTATATAATAAACTATAAACAAATTATAAACAAACATTAACTTTATATGTGTTTAATTCTACAATGATCACAGTATTATATGTATATGAGCATTCAATATGGCGACTTGAACATTGTTATCCAAACAAACACATCCAATCAACATTTTACGAAGTATACCTAACACATTCAATATGGCGAATTTGAACATTTTCGCCAAACAAACACATTCAATCGAGATTCTACAAAGTACACCTAAAAAAGTTATTAGATGAGCATTCAATATGGCGACTTGAACATTGTTATCCAAACAAACAGTCTACGAAGTATACCTAACATCTTTGATTCATAATTGATCCTGATATACTGATAGCGATGTGCAATATTATCAATGAGGCAATATCATGATGCCATATTCAATGTTCTTTGATTATGTAAATTACAAAATTTTAAAGCTACATCGTTTAAATCAAGAAGGACTATTGTATCAATAAATGTGAGTACTGTTGCTTCTGAAGCTTTCAGTTGTTTCCATTTAATTAGTGTTTTGTATGCTTGTGATTCCACATCCTTATTATTAACAATAATTATTTGGATATCATCGTCTAGTATTCCAAGATGGATACCAATCTTGTAAAACCTACTATTAGCGGCAATACTTTTGCTGATCATTGAGGCGTCTTTTTCTGTAAATTCCATTCTTTGATCTGAAACGAAGACATATTTTCTTTTGAAGTGCAAACAATACGTACAGTATCAGAGAAACAAAACGTATATAAAAAGGACATACAATAACATTCAGTACAGGAACAGCAACTATAACTCTGCCTCTTCCACTATGAGAATATTACTATGCAAATGACAAGGGCATTAAGCAGACCAACAATGAGTCAAACACAGTCATCGATTAGGTGAATGATAACAAATCATGTTGACTTAATGGATCACCCTAATTTATTGTTAGTCAAATATCAAAATATTTTGGGGTAATGTTTCCCTATATGAAAAAAAAAAAAGAATTAGCAGCTTCTAAGCGGACATTCAAAAACAATAATCGAAGGGAAACCGTAACAACACTTTGACAAAAAAATAATAAAATAATAAAAGACACAGACAAAACAAATCAATAAAACAATACATAAAAAACTAAAGATTGAGCAACATGAACCCCACCAAAAACTGGGGATGATCTCAGGTGCTCCGGAAAGGTAGGCCGATCCTACTCCACCAGTGGCACGTATCATGTTTATCATGACAAGAACAAATCTGGTAATAAGTGTAAATGGTGAGGTCACAATCGAGGAAAAAAGGATTTGATTTTTCTCTGTGAACTCTTTAACATGCCTATATGTGTTAGTTTATAGTTTTGCGCGTTTCGTCTACATAAGACACATCAGTGGCACTCGAATCAAAATAGTTGTAAGCAAAATCAAATACGAAGTTAAAGATCTTAACTTCTTACCATATTTTTGTTTGAATTCTTTCACTACACTATTGACATCTTCAACAGAATCGGTTGGACCGTCAGTTTCCAATGTACTTTTGCTGTATGATAATGATGAAACTTCTGTTGACATGAGACTTTTGTCAGAATCACTATAAAAGTAAATCATTTGTCAAAAGCTGTATTGTTGATAATATTTATATATAAGCCTTGGAAATGATTTATTAATGGAAAAACTACTCACACAAAAGAACATATATATGCATGTTAAAGAAACAACAGCATTTACTATTGATATCAATACAAAGGGGCGTAAATTGCCATTCTGAAAAAAATCAAACTGATAATAATGTTTTATTGTTACTCAAGCAGAAAATTCATTCAGCCATACAAGGGATTTAGTTTGGTGCTATTAGCTAGGTATTGTTTATCTTTTATGGACATACATACAAGTAAAAGTCTATTCAAATATTGAGTACATGTACATTATTACACATCATTTTTTCATTTCAGTCCGGATATCATTTCAAAACCAAGGTGTAGCCGATCGTCTGATATGAGTCAGAGGGATAATTGTTTATCTCATATTCAGAAGAGTGTGATATAATCTCTTTATCATACAATTCAAATAAATTTTTTGTAATCATCATAACAAATTGCGATGTCTTTTGCAGGGTATTATATCGAAATTAGTAACGGTTGGCACTACCTGAAAGTTGGCTTCCTTTAATTTCACATAGGTAAAAATATTAGAATGTAAATGTTATTGGACGATGGCATGGATCAATAGATATATGGATTTTCTTCACACCTGCGATCTGAAATAAGTTGAGCAGAATCAAAACAAAGAAATGAAAGAAACGCTTCTAAAAAATTTACCTATTTAATGAATCCTCGTGATTGTTTTCCTGTCTTCTTTGATTATCTAAGAAAATAAATAAAAGCTCGTACATTAATTTTCTTATATAATTTTTTTTTTGGAGGAAAGCAGGTACTGTCCCATTAAATATAAAAATAATTTTTATAAAAGCTACTAATATCAACTTTTCTTTAAAACTTAAACAACGCATTTTGCCTAATCGAAATTATTTTGTTGTATTTCATATCCATGAAACGCGTAAATTAATTTTACTCAATTCAAAAGAGGGAGTACATACCAATGGGCAATATAAAAAAACCATAGTCCGAATAAACTTGACAGACAGAACCATGACCAAAAAGAAAAAAACGGCGAAACGACAACAAAAGTCCTCAAAATACTACATATTATAAAACTAAAGACTGAGCAACAAAAATCGGTGTTGAACTCGGCGGATGCTCCAGAATTTAAGCAAGAACTGCTCCACTAGTGTCATTCGTCGTGTTACTTAAAGAAGTAAAATTTAGTTGATTAGTCGCATTCGATGATGTCGTAATCGCATAAAAGAGGATTTGATTGTGGTTTACACGTGGAACGTATCTGAGGTCATATGGGATACAGTCATTCCATAATAGTTTACTAAATGATGGCTTCCGTTAAATTTTCGATGGAATGACTTCAACTCTACCTCCCGGAACACTTGGTCTAATAGCCTCCATTTATGCAGTAACCTTCTGGTAAGGGAATCATAATTAAAGCGCATGTCCTGGAATATTGTGTGAAAAGGGGAAATATACTTTGTATATGCAGGCGCTTTACACATTGAAAATTTAAATCATTTCTTTTGTCGTAAGATCTAGTCTCAACTGACCCTTTTTGTCGATTTCTAGACGTAAGGCAATATTTTAAGCAGGCTTAACTGTATCTGTGGTATCCTTATTCTCAAGTTTAATGCGATTAACATAATCACCAATATTTGATTTATTCAGTGTTAAAGCAGAACATGAATTTAAAGAGAAATGCCAGCTGTTCTACATTTCTCTTGAGTAGCTTTTGTTTGAAGTTTGTCCTAAAAGAATAAAGAAACAAGAAGAGGAGCAAAGTTGGTTTCCACATGAATACCACTTGTTTGTTGAAAAACACGGCACCCAAACGTTAAAAGCATATGGTCAATAAAACCATCAAGCATTTTAATGATGGATGTCAGTTTCAGAGAACCTTTGTTTGAATGTGATTTTTTTTTAATATAAATATTTATATAAGCTGTCACTTCATGAAACAAAAAATCTGTATCTGCATTGGACTCTCTATTTTTATGAACAAGACAACGCTTTCTGTATATAAAAGGTTTGCAACAACTCTTTTTGAGGCATACGTAGGCGATCTGTAATAGTTATCCCATGAGGACGCGGTGTGTCAGTGTAAGATCACCCCGATGGCCGGAGGCCAGAGGGTGATCTTACACTGACACACCAAGTCCGAATGGGATAACTATTTTACATCCCAGCTATTCTAGATTAGATAAAAAACCATTTACGCTTCATTAAAATTTAGTTTAGAACGCCACGCAATCATTATAATATACTTTATATATTACTATATAGTATATACCCTTTATGATACCCGGGCAATGTTTAAATATTTTCAATTAACAGGAGTTTGTATCCAGACGACCTAGGGTAGGGGTATGAATCATGGGTCTATGTGCTAAAGGACTTGAGTTCGAATCCCAGCATAGACACTGGATTTTTTCTACATAAATTTTGATAGTTAATCTTTTCCGTAGAAATAATTCTAAGTTTTATTGTGGATTTGACATTCCCTCCAAAATGTTACAGAACAAAGGAAATCATGCAAAACAAAGAAACTCAAGCTAGGGTGATCTGGTAGGCATGATCCGGCTCAGATCACCCCTGGTAGAACAAAGGAGCTGTGATGTAAGTTTCAAGGCAAAAGTTCTGTTCCTTTCCAACATACTTTTTCCGGAGGCAGTTCAAATTTCCCGTTTTAATCACTGTCGATCCAATCTGCAGAATTTACTTGGATGTATTTGTAATTCATTTAAGTCATGAATAAAATGGCATTTGAGCCACTGATTGGTAAGCAAATAACAATATCAACCAATCAGGTCAGTATAATATCATGAAAGTATCATATACATGTAGTAATAAAGAAAGTCGGAGTACCTGGGACCGGGGAACCTCCGACCTTGGGTATGCATCACATAGACAAGAGAAACTAAGTGAAAGTTTTCGGAATTATTAGAAAGATTTTAGAGGGTGCCCTTTTTGTGATTCACAAAATCGGTTTTGATTTATACAGGTAAATTGTAATCTATGTGTACGGAACTTAACGTTTTAATTTTTTAGGGGTTATAAGGGAAGGGGAAGGGGTCAGGGGGTTTAGCGGAGACTTTAATTGAATCACAGTATATCACAGTATATCGAGATTGGGGATTCTAATTATTCCTATACACTTCAACTAGACCATGACCTCTTTCAGTGCTTAAATCTTATTAAGTACCACGCATTACAACACAAGTATATATGTCAAATAGAACTATTTAATCGAGAAATTTAAATAAAATTGGTATTAATATACTCACTGAGACATTTGTATATTATTATAGCCAGTGCAACTACTAACACAACAATGCTGCCCACAGATATGGAAACAATGGTAGTAAGGTTGCCATCATGACTGAAATAAAACACACACGATAATATTAACATGATACACCAGTATGTCAAACTCCCCATCATGGTGAGGATGCATTCTTCAGTGGGACTGGGAAATCACAATGCTGCCTGTAAAAGTAATTATAATGTATGTCAAACTCTTAATTATGCATCAGTAGATCAGGGGAATTTAAAATTGTTTGTGATAGACAACATAGACTTGCTTAATCTAATTTTAGAAGTGGGTGTCTCCCTTTAGCAATAAAGACAGGTCGTTACACCAAGCCAAAAACTCTTCTTAATGACCGAAAATGTAAATATTGTACAGTTGATTGTGTAGAAGATGAAAAACATTTTTTAATGCATTGTGAATTTTATTCAGATCTGCGATATAGTTTATTTTTGAAAGCAAGTGCAATTAACCAAAATTTTAACGATTTTTCTGATGTCACATGACTCTTTACACCCCCTTTTAGCAAAAATCTTTGTATTTTATGTTTAATCGCGGAAAATATTGTGTATAGTATGTTCTTTTAAATAGCTTTATTCATTCATTTTTTATGAATGTTAGAATAAGTCTTTAAGGGAAAGTGTCTCATAAGTCAGTTGTGGCTGGATACCGATATTTTAACTTCGATTTAAATCTTTATTTGTATTTTTATACTTATATTATGATGTATGATACTGTTTTATATTGGTATGTGACACTATTATAAAATATTCTGTCTGTCTGTCTGTAAAGGACTTGGTTAATATGAGGTCATTCACTTCACAGTTTGAGTAATAAGTTTCACTGCATGCAGATTTTTTATTTCCATTGCAGTATAATTTGCAAAAAAGTGCATTATTCACTTCAAAATTTTACTTAAAAATTTCACTCCAAAATCTCACTCCAAAAATTTCACTGGTAATTATAGTGTTAAGGAAATTATTGAACCAACTGAATATATAATGCACATATATTAAACTAAGTCGTCTGTGTACGGTTTTTTTAAAATTTACGACGAATCCGTAACGTATATCGACACAAATATTTCATTCAATGATTGCTGAGTGAAAACTTTGGCTAGCAGCCAAACTTTTGGGTGTTTATAGATACAGTAATACCGAAGTTTACCGATTGTGACCTTGATAAACAATCAACACATCTAATCATGAGCACGGGAAAATAAGTGATATATATTAATGAAGCGATGTTTAATTAGTATTTTTTTTATATTATTAAATCAGTATATGTGTACGTGTTTTACAGTAAAACTTTAATAGTCATTCAAGTATTTAAAACATATTCAACTTTTTTGTTGAATTTGTGGTATTATTATCATATGATTTTAGTCACTTTGATAAATATTTGGAGGGATTTTATTCACTCTCAAAAATCGGGAGGGATGTTAATAAATCAGATAACAATCGTTAGTAATATTAGGAACTGAGAATGGGTAAGCATACTATCCTGCTCTGCAATGTGGTAGTCTTTCAAAAATATGAAAGGATAAATGCAAAATATGTTTCACCTCCATAAGTGGAAACCTTCTTCTATAGTTAACAAGCAATACTTCTTCTTTTTTATATATATATATATATATATATATTACTTTTATCATTTGTATTATTTGTGTATTTATTCTTTTAACAACTTCGTCATCAACGAACGATGCACTTTGTACTAATCCAATTACCTATTTGAACCCGGCTTTGATGGCTTTATTTCTCCACATATGGCATTTTGTTTTGGTGTACATATCTGTGTTTCGGATCTTCCAACTGTCCTACAATCTTTACATGGTAGACATCTATCAAATGATAGGCTGTCGCTATAGAATCCCTTGGGACATCGGATACAATGACGACACCCTAACGCACCGTGAACTGGATCAATATCAAATTGCCTTTCCTAAATAACATAGTAAAAAAGTAAAAAATTAAACAGAATGATTCATAATAGATGTGTCCTTTCGATTTTCAAAATGCTAAATGATTTTATCTATAGTGGAGATAAAAATATTTCTAGACAAGATTTACCAAGGTCCATATCAATTCTAATTTCCAACATATGTTTTATAAGGGGGGGGGGGGGGGGGTATAAAACACACATTCTCTTTTATCATGAATGATCATTTTCTGATGTGGTATTGCACTTTGTCCTTGCTATTGTTATTTTTTGTTGTAGTTGTTATTGTTTGGTTTACTTTATTGTCAAGTCAGATTATTTTTTTACTATTTTGCTGTTGTTTATGATTATAATGTTGTTGTTGCTGTTGTTGTTGTTGTTGTTGATGATGGAAATAATGTTGTTGCTGTTGTGTTCGTTGTCTCTATTTATTTATCATTACCGTTATTGATACCAGTCCCAATCCTGGAAAACATTTGTCACACCTTTTGCAGAATTCGCCTTGTTTGTTATAGTACATATTATGAAGATGGTCACAGTAGCTTACAACCTCTTTGATTGGAGCCATGGCTGTACATCAATTTCCGTATTAAATATCTGACCAAGCTGAAACAGAAGTACATGTATTGGATTAACTTTCTACGAGTTGAACGCATCTCGTTATTATATTTGGTTAACCAAAACCAGCAAAATACATTTTTTTTACTTCGGAAGAAGAACAATTCAAAGGTCGTATTACAATATTACTAGTTTAACGCCAACAGCTTAATTTAAGCGCACAAAAAAATCATGATTGTATAAACATGATAAAAATCAAAGATATATAAAAAGGCGGGTCCTAATTTAATCATTCATATTTGACACAATAAATTATAATTTATATACTCTTTATCATATACCTACCATAATATATATTATAAGATGTATTATTATCATAATCCTGGCATTTACAATTATGATACATCTTATAACCTAAGAATTAAAGGATTCAACTGAAAAAAAGTTTATGCTATCCTACATTTGTACTTCTTTAATGGCCATGACATTGATATATGATATTGAATGAAATGACTCGCATAGAACATAAACATATGACGTCAAGAGTGTTACCTTTAGAATCAGTTTAATGGGATTGACAGTTCATATGTACCCGACTTTCTGGTATTTTTCAAGTAAACAATTCAGTTAAAAAAGGTGTCTGTTGTTCCAAAGGCTTCTATCTGTTAACTTTAATTCTTACACTAAAAGCATTTCGGGGCAAAACATTAAACATGATAGGGTATAAATCCTACGACATTAAAATATATTGCGAAAAAAAAAATCATCGAAAATGAAGATGCCAGGCGCCCAAAAAGATTCATCAGTGACGTTCGAATGAAAAAAAAATAGAAAGGCCAAACGAAGTACGAAGTTGAAGAGCATCGAGGACAAAAAAAATCCGAAAGGTTTTGCCAAATACAGATAAGATCAACGTCACTGGTTGGAAATAAAAAAAAACATCTCTGAAAAAAATGTTTAAACAAGGATTGATTTTGGTGTACATTGTTTTCAATTTAGAACTAAAACAAGAATATTGAATTAAAAAGAATTTGTTTAAAACAAAATAAAAACACAATAGACAAGATAATCCCGAAAACAACAAAGACCGCTCTAAAATATTCATAAAAAATTATCAAACTATTACTACTAATATCAATTATAATACTATGAATTGATTGTTGTTTGCTCAACGTCCAGTGGCAAACATTTCATTTTCAAGACACGTATATAATAAAAGTAGTAATAATAATATCAATAATAATAACAATGATAATTATAATAATAATGATAATAATACTAATAAAATTTTAACTCTATAAACATAATTAATTTAATTGATTGCACTCTTGCTGTGTGACAAACATGGCGGTATAAACAAATGACTCGATCGGCAGGACCGAATATTAATTGTATTAATCATTAACCAGGACATCAATCAATAACAAAATAAATAAAACAAGTACTTACTTTTAAAATTCCTAGTGTCTTCCACTCATGATTGAAATACTACATGTACTTTATGAACGAGAAATAATGCAATATGATACATCTATACCTGTACATATGTGCAATCTCTCTGTACCTATGTATCTGCAATGGTTATGAGAATAAATGTACTGTTATAATTTCTTCTTAAAACACTATTGTCAAGGCTATGATACAAAACTGACTGTCGAAAAACATTTTCTGTTGTATTCAAATTCTCCTAACCCCAAGTAGATATTTTGAAATACCATAAATTGTGACTATTCATGTGTGATAACTACCTTGTCGACTCACACGTGTTGTCAATCCCACGTTTAAAATAGGATTATAAAGTAGGACGGATATTTCTATTAATTCATAGCATTTTATTTATCTTTTTTTGTTTTGTTTTTAGTTGTAGTAAATAATCAACATAAGTGGGGACCATATTGCGTGGAAAAGAAGGGGAATAATAATGTACCGAACCAGTGAATATAGTACAAATGTATAATATTGTAACGTTTATGGGTTATCGTAAATTCCCCTTTTCTATTTTTAGATATTATATATAACTTGTTTGACCGTTCACTTTTCGCGGGGATCGTTTTTCTCGTGCTTGAGATTCAATGTCCAGACTTGGATATTTAAACCTCGTCTGGACAATATTTCTTTAGATTGGGGAAAACTTTCGTACTGGTAAGTTGTACATTAAATTTCATTTTATTCGTATTTCAATGTTGACTTAAATATTTATTACTTAACATTTGATACATTTCTTTTCGGTTTTAGAGTCAAACATTTCTAAATTATAATTTACGTTTCCGTTCCAAAAACATAGAAGGAATTGTACACTAGCTAGATATTTTAAGATTTCGGGTTTATAAGGAGATGGGGTTCATTTTGATAGCGATATTTAGAAAAATGATTCATCTGAGGGATATTTTGGAGTAACGGTCGTCAATCTTCGGAATTCTAGGTGCCTTACTCTGAAATGGAATTTTGTATTATCGCATGTTTTACTAAAGGTCTTGAACTGGTCAATGATATTGAAAAATGTGTTTCAGACATTGCTCTGGTTGGACCGAGAATTAAACGGGAATAGATTGAATGCGATGTTTTTTTTACTGGACTGACTTTGGTCCCTAGTACATGGAATTACGAGGTTCATGTTCTAGTCTAACAAAGTCGGGGTGGAACCAGTGGGTATTTTTATTTTATCTCGGAAGGTGGGACGTCACGAACTTGATTAATTAAAGTTATTTTTTTTTAGTTAAAGCCGACTAGTGTACAACTCTTAATATATTAAGTAAACGGACACGTCTAAAATTGTAGTGGGTGAATCTGTCTATTTTAATTAGATAGCACTAAGGCCAAACAAATTCCTTATATATATAAATATTGGTTAATTTATTATTGGTATATTTCACTGCAAATGCATCGTTTTATCCTAAAAGGGGAGGTTCGAAAATGTATTGAAATTCTACAGAATTTAAGGATAAAATTTCACATGGATATTTATGTATTTATTGTCTTTGTCTAATAAATATGAAACTGTTTTATGAATCTTGGTTATTTGTTATATGAGCAAATACATTGCTTGGCAAAATCGTCATATCTGGTCATTTATAGGTTTCTTATACCTGTCATTTATTGATTTTATGGTTTCTTTGTATTATCAGAATGCTGTCCGAATTCCTGCAGCGAAAGCACAGGCCGAACCCTCTCTACCAGTAACGTAAATGGCTGAGCTAGCGGGGTATAATGTCATGAGACACATAATGAACGGAAAATGAGTTTACACACTAAAACCCGTTTACGTTGCAATATGTAGTATTTTGTATTGTGATATTTGTAAATATGATTAATAGATTTATTTCATTTTTCATTTGATAAATAAATTTATCATTCATATCCGTTTTCATGTAAATAATCAGTTATATGTGGAAATGAAATATTGTTTATCAAGCTCGTTAAGATAGTCGGTTTAGACTCGTCACACCGAAAAACGAGCTGTATTTGACAGAACGGTTCGGAACTAGGGTGATCAACGCTCTTCAACTTCGAACTTCATTTGGCTTTTTTAACTTTTTTGATTCGAGCGTCACTGGTGGGTCTTTTGTAATAGTAAAAAACACTGTGCGGGACAAATTTGCAATTCCAGAATTGGCAAATCTGACTTTGTCGGTTTACAAGATATCAAAAATATTTTTTGCCCAAGTGATAGATAATCAAAAAAATTAAATTTCCCCATATGTCCCAACATGTCACCGTTGTCACTGTTGTCGTCACCACAGCTGATTAAAAGTACATTTCCCATGGGAAATTTAAAAATTCCCATGGGAAATTTAAAAATTCCCATGGGAAAAGTTAAAGGGAACAATTTTTCTTCCCATTGGAAAATTTGTCTACCTATGGGAACATTTTTTCTTCTCATTGAAACAGATATTTTAAGTATGGAACATGTTTTCCGTTTGATTGTTTTTCTCCTAGAAAAATAAAAATTTGTTGAAAATGCAGGATTTATGTTAAATTATTGCAGTATGCAGGTTTTCTACAAAATGTCAATATGGTTTCATATCTAAAGCTGCTCTCAACATGCAACTTCCATAAAAACTCTGATTATCCAGTTAAATATGAAGCAATGGCAAGTAAGTTTTTAAATAAGTTGTGCGTGTGTGTTGTGAATACAAATTTCTATTATTGAACTTATTGGAAAATAGATAATAAATGTTTAACAACTTTTTTCCGGTGCTTAGAAATACCCCATTTTAAAAAAAAAAAAATTTGCAAAATACAAGACCCATACAACAAAAACACTATAACCATGATAACATGCTAAGATAATATATTCATTTACAATCTGTATACACGTGCGTAATTAACGGGTTCTGGTTGAATGAACATGAATTTCGATCGATTACACACAGATGACGATCAATAGAGTGTGACACGTGTCGTTAAAACATTTACATGGTAATTACTAAAGATGTGATTATATAATTTGGAATTATTTTTTTAATTTAAAATAACATAGCCTACTTTTATATTTCATGTCCTTTGTGGCAACTGTATCATCACATCAAGTCCCTATAGTGCGTATTATTGAGGTGGTCATTTGTGGTATTTCTACGGACTTATTTATTTCAATATTTTGATTCCTTTCGTATTATATTTTGTATAGGCAGTTTATGTAGATGAATTACAAGAACAGAAAAAAAGTAAGTTGAAGTCATATTATTAGTCTCCGTTGTATTGTTTTAAAAACTTAACATTGACATGGATAAGTGATTTCTGTGACATATACATGTACCAAATGTACAAGTTTGTTACTTTGAGGTTTTTTTTGTGTGACTGATCTTCGTTTTTGTTTTGTTTTTGTTTAAACACATTTTATTTTCAAAAGTAGCATATGGGATTGAACACAAAATACATTAGATAATAACGAAAAACAAAATATAGAAATAGATGTAATACAAACTATAAACAAAAACGAAAATGCAATATAATATTTTTGTAATATGAACTGGCGTGAAAAGTAGGAATTCAGAATTTTAATTGTATGCGAAGTTCTGAATCTTTGTGTGATTCTGATTTAAGATTGCACAGATTCAAAAATTGCTTTACTTTGATGAAATGTATAAAGGTCACAGTGAACAGCCAATATAAGCTCAATCGGTATAACATATCTTTTTAAAATCAAAAACAATATTTCTCTTGCTTCATTGTGAAATGGGCACTCGAAAAAATTGACAATACAATCCTCAACAGCATGGCTACAGCTGCATGCGGGATTTAGTTTAATATTAACACATATCTGCATTTAAGGAGCTTCGCATACTTCTGAACCATGAATGATATTAAGTTTTCTAACACCACAACTAAAGAATAAGGGTGGCTGTTTTTATATTTCAGAAAGTCTATATGTCGGGGTTTAAAATTCCATTCAATAGAAGTAGATGGGGGAAAAAAAGATGTTTTGGTTATATCTAGTCTATAACGCGGGGTACTACATAGTTGTTACTAATTAGTTAATCATAATTTGAATTGGACCAATAATTGGGAGCATTAATTAATCGCAGAGATAATCAAGGGCAGTCTCTTTATGTAAAGAATATAACACAATGAGCTTTCTAGACTTTCTTCTGTCTACTAGCAATTTCCGGCCTATTTCGAGGTGTCAGACCACCAATTAAAAATCCCATCTGTTCAACCAAATTTTTCAATTTTCACAGCTTTCTAAATATTTTACCTTAAGTTTAACTTCAAAGAAACCAGGTATATCCTGAATTGTACATGTATCACCTTTCTACGTGCCAATTTTCAACCCATGTTTAAAGTCTTATAAGAAAATTCTGATCTTGAAAACACAGATACTACCGAAATAACTCCCGGTTTTCTGGAAATCTTAAATTAGTATACTATGTAGCGCATTAATCATGAATTTTTAATGCAAACTCATAGACAAGTGAATTTTGGCTCAAAATGGTCTAAATATATTTCCCTTTCACCAAAAGTTTCATTTCTGCAAATTTGTTGGTTAGTTTAAGTAAACAATGACATCAAAAGCACTATTTTGTGTCAGAGTAGGGCTACTTTTACATACGTTCTAACTGATTGGAGGGAGTAATTGGTGGTCTGATACCTAAACGTAATATGTAGCTTAACGACTGACATATGTACATGTATGCATATTCCATAATTATAATGCATATTTCAAGTTTTCAAGTAAATATAGGGGAATTAATTGAGAGCCATTTGTTTTATGGATTCTCTCATATATAGTTAGAAACCCTCATTAACTAGCGGTGTTCCGTGTAAAATTGTTTCCAATATTTTTTTATCTGGGACTAATATACATTTATAAAATCTTTTTATGTCTCAGTATTTATATAATACCTTTATTTAATTCCTTAACTTGACCATCAGCATGGCTAAAGAAATTATTGCCAGAGGTAATGTGAGGTGACACTTCCAGGTATTCAAGCGATTTCCTGTCGGGCTTAGCAGTGTACGCGCGGACGGTAATTTGGAACTTTATTTTAAAAAAAATCATCTGTTATAATATACATCATGTGTACATTGATATACTATATATTACTAAACTCATACGTGTAGTCAATTTTACTACCAGTTGTTTATGAATTACAGTTCTCGTGCAATGAATGATATTTAATTCCAACCAAAGATTTGAGGAATTAACAATTTATTGAGATATTTTCCATCGGTAAAATTTGGAAAATGTAAGTTTGTACTACTTGTCAATAGTAATGGATATTTCAAAACATTTAAATATTAATTCACAAAAATGAACGCACTCGCCGACCGTTGGTTTCGAAAGATAGAAAGATTCGGAACTAAAGATAGTCACAATTAAAAATATGTATTTTGAAAAAAAGACAAAAACCGCCAGAACAGATCTGATTTAAATCCAGGGTCCGTATATGCATAATGGTACTTAAGTTAAGATTTGACCCGAACGGACGGATTTTTCTACATGTTCTACAATAAATTTATACTACGATTGGATATTGTTTGATGCATATATGTCCAGATCTATATAGAACTTAATTTGCTTCGTCGAAAATACGAATATAGAAAAATCACAGATTTATATTTCAACTAGAACGTTCTAGAACAGTTAATTATATATAAAGAAATCATTACAATTGTTAGTTATTTTGAACATGTATAACTATAATGCGAACCTTGTGAAATAGCACGTGAAATCCCAAATAAGCGTGAATTCTTTGGAAAAGCGACGGTTCTATTAATACCTATTGTCAATTTCAAGTTCTGTTTCGACATGCATTGTAATATATGTCACTGGACGTTAAAATTCCATCATTAATTTCGTCTTCGTCAAATATTGCTGTTGGTTTCTTTTCTTTTTTTTTATTACATATACATGAATACACCACAAGTTATTCCTATGTAATCTCATTAAGATATTTAATGCAAAGTAAATTTTAAAGATGAAAGTCGTATTAGTTCGATAATGCTTCAAACTAAATATAAACTGAGAATATATGTATAACTGCCATATTCCGAATCCCGGACATTCATTTGTGTAAATGAAGAAAAGATAACAATGATCGGTATCTGAGTGATTCTACGCCTCAATCAAGCTTCATAAAGATATTACAGAATATTCAAGATTTACAACTTTTCTTGAATATGATTGCCAATGAAATAAACTATGCAGGAGATTTCAAATTAGCCCAATTAATTTGTATGTGTACTATAACAACTGAAATCGTAATTCTGCTGTAGTGCACGTCGATCGTATCTGTAACAGGAAGGCGTATGGTAACCATACTACCTTACTAAGTTCAAAAGTACATAACAACCCTTTCCTTGTGCTTTATACGCTCAGGAACATACATCTTACTATTTTGCATGGATTGGTAGCAAATGTTACTTTTCAACTGTAGTCCTTGACCAAAAGCGTTGTTTTTTTTCCATCTGACAAGCTTAATTTTGGATCAAGTGATCATACAAGTACGGAGGCTAGGATTTATAATTCGGCTAGTCTGGATGACTTCGTGCAATACTCCCGCTCCGTATTCATTATAGTTTTTACATAAATCATTTAAATTTTAGATCCTTCAGTTTGCATATAAATATGATATTTAAATTTCGTATGGCTTAGTACAACCTGCAAAACATTTTATTTGATGTCACCAATAGTAAACATATAAAATGAAACAATAACTTACTACTAGTATACCAATATAGACTTTTGTTGTATGATTATACAAACCGAAATCACTACTAGACGAGGGGTTGACACGCTCAAATTAACAAAATTGTGTTTCAAAGAACCAATGCACCAAATTGATTTTATAGGATTTAGTTTAACATTTTAACCTGTTCAAGGAATGTATTACTTGACAAGAACAATTTAAATGTAGGACAAAATCGGCTTACAACACGAAATTTGTTCAAAGAATAGTACCAAGCATGTGACAAAATGACGGGTATGTAACAGAGGTATCGCAATTGCAGATGGATTGGTGAATAGTTACTGTTTGTTCAACGTTCAGTGACAAGTATCTCATGCATATTGCAAGACCAAACTAAGTTGGGCAGACGACAAAAGCGAAATTGTGACAAATTCGTTGTTCAAAATTTATTTGCAAGTGTTATTTAGGAAGTCAAAGATGTATATGGAAAGTAAATTTTACTATTATTTATTGAATAAAATAAAAAGATCAAAACCTCTAAAAGAAAATAAACCCGGTGAATGACATTCCTTGTTGCTGAATTGGGTTTGGCTGACCTTAAATATTCAAATTAAATATACAATTATTTTACTTTTTTTTGGGGGGGGGGGGGGGGAGGGAGTCATTGACCCGTAAACATAACAACAATACAGGCTTATAGTATTTTGAAGCATTTTTGAAGCATTCAAATATAATGAAACGTATGATAATTTTTACGAATAAAAGAAAAAGCAAGTCGGCCCAAAAATGATTGATATTTCAAAGAAAAATGTATAGTGTGTTCATTGTAAACTTAAACCAGAATGCGTATAAATGTCTCTATTATAACAGTCACAAACCACTTCTAGAATTAAAAATCAGCGATTTACCATTCATGCAATAATATTTTGTCGAAAGTGATCGAGATGCCCTTATTAGGTAATTCAAATTCTCAGACACTTAATTTTTTTCAAGAACACGTTATAGTTAATATCAGAGCCATATCATACATGTATTATATCTGGGACTATAATACTAAGTATAATAGTCCCAGATTATATTATCTGTTAATATGCATCCTTCTTTTAAAGTCTTGTTTTTCTTAAACACTTTCGGACCGTATATCGGGGGCACTGCAAAAAATAATTTTTCAATAAAATGCTCCGCTGGGCGCAGCTTGATTCGACCGCAGAGGTCGAACCCTGAAAAGTTGGGGCAAGTATGGACACAACATTCAAGCTTTATACAGCACTTAAATTTGGATTGTGATTAAATATTTGACACAGCATAGGTTTCTGACACAGAATGAATGTGGTCTAAGAACTTAAAAAAATTTAATTTACCTATTCAAACCATATCATTAATATTTGCTTTTATATATAAATCAGAAATAACCAATTAAAATTGGAAAAATTTAAAGAAAAAAAAGGGGAAAAAAATCCCCCCTTAAATTTTTTGAACCCCCTTATGATTCATCACCCCCAAACTCAATCCCAGCCTTCCCTTTGTGTTACAATGTATGGTGCCTTGCAGTACAATTTCAGAGAGATCCGTACACTTGAACACAAGTTATTGTCTGGAAACTAGAAAAATGCTTGTTTTTTTTGCCCCTTTTTGGCCCCAAATTTCTAAACGTTTAAGACAATTACCCCTAAACTCAAACCCAATTTTTCCTTTGTGATATGGAACCTTGTTGTACAATTTCATAAAGATCCATACACTTACACACAAGTTATTGTCCTGAAACTAGAAAAATGCTTGTTTTTTTTTATCCCTTTTTGGCCCCTAATTCCTAAAATGTTGGAGCAATTACCCCCAAATTCAATCCCCGCCTTCCCTTTGTGGTATGGTACCTTGCAGTACAATTTCAGAGAGATCCATAAACTTGAACACAAGTTATTGTCTGGAAACTAGAAAAATGCTTATTTTTGGCCCCCTTTTGGCCTATTCCTAAACGTTTTGGGCAATTACCCCCAAACTCAATTCCAGCTTTCCCTTTGTGATATGGAACCTTGTAGTACAATTTCAGAAAGATCCATACACTTACACACAAGTTATTGTCATGAAACTAGAAAAATGCTTGTTTTTTGCCCCTTTTTTGGCCCCTAATTCCTAATATTTTGAGGCAATTACCTCCAAAATTAATCCCAGCATTCCCTGTGTGATATGGAATCTTGTGGTATAATGTCAGAGAGATTCATACACTAACACACAAGTTATGTCTGGAAGTTACAAAAATGCTTATTATTGGCCCCTTTTTGGCCCCTAATTCCTTAACTGTTGGTACCATAACCCCCAAAATCAATCACTACCTTTCTTTTGTGGTATTAAACCTTGTGGTAAAATTTCATAGAGATCCATTCACTTAAACTAAAGTTAGAGTGCGAAAACCAATGTGTCTTCGGACGACGACGACGACGACGACGCCAACGTCATACCAATATACGACCACAAAATTTTTTTTGCGGTCGTATAAAAAGCAAATTTTATTTTCAACCTTTAAAACTTGTATGCCAGATAATTTGACCACATGACAAGAAATTCTACAATAAACATTGGTCACACACAACAGATTCCGATGTAAGACACGTGTCGTTACAATAGCCAGTTTACACGCATCAACGCACACAGGTTTGTCGAATAGGCCAGTTGATTGGAGGAAAGTTACCGAAAACCACGCCTACCTTAAACTAATACCCAATCAAACGCCTTTGACAAAAACATAAAAAATACATGGATAAGATAACAGAGATTTGGTTGCGTATTCAATATTTGAAAAAGTTTAGATTCTTAATTCAAACTTAGAAGTATAGAATATGCCCGTAATGCAAGTTTCGCAATTTTACAATAAATTTTATACATAATTTCACCTACCAAGTGAGGAAAAAATACAAATTTAAAAAAATTTGCAAATTAAAACTATTTCGAATTGTTCTCTATGTGTTATAGTAGTCTCAGTCTATTCGTACAAAAAATCACCAGCAATTAAAAAATCAAATATTTCTTTCACCTGTATCCAATCGGAAAAATAATTCATTTTAGTCTTTGATCTAGATGCAAAAGACGACAATGCTCCTTACAGTTAAAACAGTCTACTCCAAATTTCATAGCGTATGCAGTGCTTGACAGATACCCATTATTGTCCTATGTAAAGTTGCGAATGATACATTTCTAGAGTAAAGTAAAATTTGTGTTGAATTATACAAACTTGTGTTTTTATATTATGCTAATAACAGAATAGAAACTAAGTGGATATCATATATGAAAAATATTTTTGATAATTACGGTATGATCTGCGGTATGATTATGTCCAATATTATAATGCACAGTTTGTGATAAATGGGTGTCAAAATGTATTAAACAAAAACCCAAAGACCAGTTTCAACAAGAATGCTTTGCTTTTATTGCAGAATCGCATAACACTTAATGTTATCGTATTTTTAAAAAGAATCAACAATTTGAAAAAATACTTTTCATTTTTACCTTACTAAATTCATTTATATATTATGCAAATATAGATGTGGTAGTCACCACTTGCCGATTGAGTCTGGAAGGTGGCAGGATTTACAGAGAGAAAACATAATCTGCCGTCTCTGTGACACAAACAACATTGGTGACGAGTACCATTACATTATGAATTGTAGAACATTTAAACTATAGAAAGAAGGAAATTTTTACGGAACTACTTTTAGTCAAACCCTAATATCTTTAAAGTTGATCAACAGTTTAACTCATCAAATATTGTAATGTTAGAAAAACTATGTAAAAGTTATAAATGTGAAAGTCAGTCCTCCAAGTTAATTTAATTGTATCGTTTACACATGCATGTAATAATTTTACCTTATAGTTATGTTTATGTATGTTCTCGATAAGTAGTAATTGAAGTTTTATGAGAAATAAAGTATTCGTATTCCTTTAAACCATAAATTACACGAAGACAGCCTACCGTTAAAGTACAAGTGGATATATCATAAAGTATATATTAAATCCTCATCCGTCCTTGTAAATGCAAAACTCTGGATTCTCTTTAATATTTACCTGAGAGATCATAAAAGACAAATCTAACAAGACTTTCAAAGGTGTTTGCCAAAAATGAATTGAAATAAAAGACTTTTGTGTAGACGAATAACAATATTGCATTAGCATGAATAGGAAATTTGACCAAATGAATGAAATAAACTTTAAAAAAGTGAGTGCACATCTTTCTAGTGGCGAAAACCACGCATATCGAGTTACGTCGACGAAAAAGAATAAGTACATTAATAATAATTATGAAGTCAATTTCATGAAATTATAGGATTATAATTAGAAAACAACCTTAAGCACTATTCGTGATTCCCCATGTATATAGATTAAAACAGATTTATAATTTTTATTCTTAAATTAAATTCTGAAATTCAAAGGCATGGCTCTGATACTTGACAGTTCAGCGAACACTATTACATGAAATGCACGATGCTATTGATCGAAAACAAAGGTGAGAGATTCAAATTGTAAAATCAGCCGCTGGACGGTAGAATTTCTATCAATCATTCAACGGTAATAAAAGACTTTTGAGTGTAAAAGTATGATAGAAATACTTTTAATTTATTGAAATTACATTTTTTTATCAAATGGAATGCTTGTTAAACTGTTCCAGTCATGGTTACTAGTAACTGTCAGTCATAGCTCTTTTACAAATTCTGAAAAAAAAAGAAAAAAGAAAAAATAATGTTCCCATGGGAAAGATATATCTTCCCATGGGAAGAATTTTAGTTCCCATGGAAAGAATAAATGTTCCCAAGGGAAAAAGGTGTTCCCATGGGAAGAAAAATTAGTTCCCTTGGGAACAAAAATTCCCTTGGGAAATTTAGAACTTCCCATGGGAAGAAACTATCTACTAATATTCCCATGGGAAATTGTAGTTCCGATGGGAACTTTAAAATTCCCATGGGAAAAGTACTTTTTCCGATGGGAACTTTAACTTTTCCCATGGGAATTTTTTAATTTCCCATGGGAAATGTACTTTTAATCAGCTGTGGTGACAACAGGGACAACGGTGACATGTTGGGACATATGGGGAAATTTAATTTTTTTGATTATCTATCACTTGGGCAAAAAATATTTTTGATATCTTGTAAACCGACAAAGTCAGATTTGCCAATTCTGGAATTGCAAATTTGTCCCGAACAGTGTTAAAAGCTCAATGATAAGTTAATATTGATATTAAAAGACCTTCGAACAAAAAGGGATGTTGAGACAGCCATTTTTGTGAGGAGTTCTTTTAATGTCAATATATATTAATCATTGAACTTCTACTGACTTACAAACCGTCCAAAACATAAGAAAAGCACACAAAAAAATCACTTGCAGAAACCTACTTCCCCTGAATTGGACGAGTCTAAATATGTTCAACTCAAATGATAGCTAAACAGGGGCGTGTTTTATTGGTCTCTTCTGCACATCTCCAGAATGTCTTCTGGTGAAGAGTAAAACAAAAAATGAATCTTGACCTCTTCTGGAGATATTCTACGGAAGATCAATAAAACAAAAATTCAATTTGCCGTCGAATATAGCAGATTTTTGTTATGTTGGATGACATACATTTGTAAATGAAGTTTCCAATGATTTTTTAGAAAATTAAGATACGTCCGGTAGACATGACTGTAAACTAAAAGTGTGCTCTGTTCGTGACATTTTTCTTTGTGCTTTCCTCTAACTCAATTTTGCTAAACAAATCAGGCTTAAACCCCCACTATTTGATTTCATTAAAGAATAATCTCGAATTCGTCAATGCCTGGAATATGGTTAAAAAGGACATCTTGTCTATCCCATTTTTTTTTTAAAGTAACCAAACTGGATTATTTTTGTATAATGCAAAGATATCAGAAAGTTCGCAAAGTCATTTTCTCTGGTGGTCCTTGAAGAAAATCTTCTGGTCTTAACTATTATTTCTATTGCAAAATTTCGATGGTCAAAACCTTCGGACCACCACTCTACAAAAACTTTCATTGTATAAGGATCTATATGCAAGTATACAACGTATACCAGACGTTTCTCAGACTGTTTTTTCAAAGTTTTCTTTTTTTTAATAAATCCGTTGGTTCTGAACTGATTGATACACCAGTCTTGTAGAACAAGATTTATTTCAGTAGTAGTTGTAATTAGGTTTGAACAAACTTCCAATAACTGCAAATACTCCTATTTCGGTGCTTTGTGTATATTGTCTTATAAATGTCAGTTTTTTTTTGGATGTCTCGTACTGATCTTTTGAGTTAATCTAATTGCAACTGATTTGTGTAGATTGTTCTTATATTGTACTGTTACACCACTGTCCCAGCTTCGGGGAGGGTTGAGCGCTCACAAACATGTTGTTGTACTGTTACACCACTGTCCCAGGTTAGGAGGAGGGTTGGGATCCCGCTAACATCATATAACCCCACCACATTCTGTATGAATGTGCCTTTTCCAAGTCAGGAGCCTGTAATTCAGTGGTTGTCGTTTGTTGCTGTGTTACATATTTTTTTTTCGTTCATTTTTTTGTACATTTATTAGGCCGTTAGTTTTCTCGTTTGAATTGTTTTGCATTTGTGATTACGGGTACTTTTATAGCTGACTATGCAGTATGGGCTTTGCTTATTGTTGAAGGCCGTACGGTGACCTTATCTGTTAATTTCTGTGTCATTTGGTCTCTTGTGGAGATTTGTCTCGTTGGCAACCATACCACATCTTCGTTTTTATATCAACCCTGCCATATTCTTTATGTGTCTGTCCCCCGTCAGGAGCCTGTAGTTTAGTGGTTGTCGTTGGTTCATGTCTCGACTCATATTTGATATTTTGTAAATTGTTTTGTTATGTATAATTAGGCCGTTAGTTTTTTCGTTTGAATTGTTTCACACGTTTCATGTCGGGCTTTTTATAGACGACTTTACAGTATCGGGTTTTGTCATTGTCGAAGGCCTTACGGTTGCGTACAATTGCTTTAATCCACTTGATATTTGAACTCCGGTGGATAGTTACATTATTAGCAATCATATCACATCTCTTCGTTTTTATAATATATACCTGACTTTCAAACTCGTGTTTTCCTGAACATGCATGAAATACTTGTCACTGGGCGTTAAAAATTAGCAACAAACAATCAATCAATTTAAACTTGTGTTAAATAAGAGGAAAACCATTTTATATTTATTCATTTGTTGGGGTGGGGGACAGGAGGATTTCATATATGAATATGGTTGCCTGGTAAGAGCTGAAAAATAGGCATAATTAGCCACAGATTAAAATGAATAATAATGCCCTCTTCCCTTCTACATCCTTCATCTAAAAATTTAAACAGACCACCACGGAATAGCCAAATAGTGTTGAAAGTAGCGTAAAACACCAATCAAAATCCCTTCCCTAGGGATTTCAAATAGTCGTTTCTTAACTGTTATTGTCCGTGTAGTTCTTATATTTAATCAGCTTATCGTCCTACAGGGATGTCCTACTAAGGTTGTCATACCATAAAAACGTTTATAACACAGCTCACATTCTAATATATCTGCATTCATTTAGACTAAACGACGCCATGTTTGTTATGTGCCTCTGCCGTCTAAACTACCTATCAAAAAAGAAGAGGTGGAAAAGAGCCAGAAGATCTTCCCAATGCAAAAAAAAAACAGAAATGGACCTCTCCTGGCTCACTAGAGAAGAACAAAAAAACACGCCTTACACGTTTTTATGAGATGACAGCCTTTGTATTGCATCCCTGTAGGAAAGATAACCTGGATAAATATAAAAACTACACGGGCAATAACAGTAAGAGGAATACTATTTGATATTCTGGGGAGGGGGAGGGGGACAGGAGGATTTTTTTGCAGATTTATTATTCATTTTAATCTGTTGCTAATCATGCCTACTTTTTCAGTTCCTACCTGGCCAAAATATTCATATTTAATAATAATAATAAATTCTATATTTTCAGAAGGTAACACAGATAACAGAACAGTTAATCCACCCCACGGCCTTCTACATCTTCAAGATATATTTACATACATACACAATGATAAACAAAACAAAATGCTATTACACTACATGTGTACAAAATTACATAATATATAGTACAGATAGATCAATACCACTGACATGAAAAAGTATGACTACAGTAAAGTTATAACATTTTAACTACGAAAGGTTCTCTTCTTGTATCTTTAAGAGATAAGATTGACAGTCTGCTTTAAAAATATTTACACTTTTACTTTCTTTCAAATTTAAAGGCAAAGAATTCCACAACAAGGTTCTAGAATACTTAAAAGTTCATTTACCATAATTTGTTCCATATCGTTGAACGAATATATTATTTTGGGTAGATGATCTTAATGCATATTTATTAACAGTTAAACAGCTTGAAAATAGTTCAGATAAATATTCAGGTGCTAGAGTATTCATACACTTATATGTTATCACTGCCATAAAATATTTAATTCTATTATAAATGGTAAGAAATCCTAACTATTTAAACATAATCGATGAAGAGATATCAAACCATACATTCAAAATTATTCTTGCTGTCCGCTTTTGTAACTTATAAGCTTTTCAATATTAGTCTTTGAAGCATTTCCCCACACGGAACAGCAGAAATCCATAACTGAGAGTATACATCCGTTATGATAAAGTTTAAGAGCACTTACATATATAGTACAGATAGATCAATACCACTGACATGAAAAAGTATGACTACAGTAAAGTTATAACATTTTAACTACGAAGTTTTTGACTTCACTTTGAGTCTGCTCATAAGATGCAGTCTGCTTACAATTACTGCACAGAGTTTGTCAATTTGATTTTCCCACGAAAGTGTTTTATCGATGTGGATTCCTAACAGTTTTTGGTTATGAACGACGTCTATTTTGTGTTCATCGTCAAATTTGATGTTTAATTCTGATTCAAAGGGATTTAGTCTATTAGATCAAATTAACATGACCTTAGTCTTATCATTATTCAATATCATATCATTATCATTACACCAATTCATAACATTACAAAAATCTACATTCATCAATTCATGTAATTCTGTTACCGATTGAGATGAATTATATAAAGTTGTATCATCAGCATAAAGCTCTGAAGAAACATTTTGAAGCACAAGTGATAAATCATTGATAAATATTATAAAAAATAAAGGTCCTAATATGGAACCTTGTGGTACTCCTGATTGAACCTCTCGGAAATAAGATTCAATATCATTGATCATAACCTTCTGAAATCTTCCTGATATTTAAAATCCTTCTATCCCCCGACACCAAAAAAAAAAAAAATATAGAAAAATGTCAAATCAAATGAGGTTGAGTTATTTACTTGCTAGACTATAATACATTAGCGGTATTTTAAGCTTATTATGGCAAAATTGAAATCAAATTCACTGCTTATAGCAAAATATCATTCCATTTTAGAAATATTTGAAACAAAACAAAAATCTTATTCTAATTTTTTGTCAAAGTCGTAGCTAATGACCCTTATTGATTTGATGTTTGCTGGACTTCCAGTGGAATTAATACATGCATGGAATTAATACATGCATACTCAGAACGAAAACTTATTTAAATAAAACAACTAATACAATATAAAGGTTCTGCATGGTGGGACGAAGGATTGCCGCTGGAAAACAATGAAAAGTTGACTTGTAACAGATCAATTGCGGAACTCGCCAGGAGTTTTTGCGAGGGCTTTTTAACGTGCTGAGAGCAAGTTATTCTCTCCACAAAAGGTATTTATTTTTAATGTCCTCATCGTGACCGGTCGTGACAGGGAATTAAATTTATACATCCGGCACTTCCAAACGGACTATATTTCCGTAAGTCAGGAACCAGATGTTCAGTGGTTGTCGTTTGTTGATGTGGTTCTTTAGTGTTTCTCGTATAGAATAGACCGTTGGTTTTCCTGTTTGAATGGTTTTACACTTGTCATTTTTGGGGCCCTTTATAGCTTGCTGTTCGGCCCTACTTTGACCTAAAATGGTTTACTTTTACAAATTGTAACTTGAATGGAGAGTTGTCTCATTGGCACTCATAACACATCTGCTTATATCTCTATAACCTTAATGACGTTCTTTTGGGAATATGAAAACTGGAATGGGTTATTATGCATGTGTTGAGGTACTTGCAAAAAAACCTTTGAGTGATTTTAGATCTTTTAGGATTGTCAACATTTTTTTCTGCAGTAATAAAAAAACAGCGTCCTTTGAGAATACATAATTATTCAGTATGATACGGACACCTTGATATCTATGCTTCATCATAAAATGTATTTGAAGTATTAAAAATAAACCTCACCTTTTCCATCAGATTGTTCTTCGTCTGTTTCTCCGTCACAGTCGTTATCTATTTTGTCTCCCTCTTTCATCTGGCTAGCCAGGCAATCCTGCAATTCATAATAATAAAAAAATGATTGATTAAATAGTTTTCAAACACTGCAACATTAATATTTAGCCCTTTTTACGTAGTGATCAATGGCGGATTATTAGGAGAAGAACGCTTCTTTGATTGGAAAATATATTCATTTATGCATAAAAAAAGTGTATATCGGTACATCTTCTGATCTCGGGAATTGTGCGCCTCATTTCAAAAATACTGGATCCGCTCCGGTTATGGTATGTGGCTTCTCTTTCTGTAATTTGTCATTCATATTCTTTTCTAAGATTTTTTAAAAAGATTTTTACCAAACAATAAAGGCCACATAAATATGTCTGTTTCCACTTTACATGATAAAATTGGTTCTAATTTCCAACCAATTCCAAACCAGTTTTAATTTGTTTAATATAGGAAAAGACGGTGTATACATAGCAAACATTTTATATGAAAACTATGAAATGGCCAACATACTCAAGACCATGCATGCTAGTTGATTGTTTTATTATTTGTACGACTTTGCCCCCAGCAGAGCTTTAGAAAAACAGTACATTAACGGGTGTTACACGGACACTTTTTAGATGATACACGGACACTTTTTACTTGTTACACGGACACTTTTTTATGAATAGAATCACTCGTACATGATCAGTGAGTTCATGGGCACTTTAAATTTCAATTAGATTTGATCTTTTTGTTTCACCGACATATTTCCTGTCTTTTTTTTTATTAAAATATTTACGTTGGCATCAATAACTATATTTTTTTTCAAACAATTCCAGTATATTACTATTCATATCAGTACACTAAGGGATTGACCATTTCACTTCAAAAGGTGGGCTATGGTTTTTTTCCTATAAACACTGAGACCCAATTTTATTAGAAAAGGAGATGACAAAATAATGTTCTGATTTCTGATTTTCCGAATACCGTATAAAATAGTGCTAAAATCGAAAAATAAAACGTTGAAAAACTAAATAATTGTCTTACTAAGAAAAAAAACATATCCCCCTTTTGAAGCTAAATGGTCGGTCCGTAAATGTATTCTTTTTTCTCAATATATAAACATGAATAGTATTCTTTCTTGACAATGCTGAAAGTAATGAGTACGAACGTTTAAATTTCAACAAAAAAGACAGGAAATATATATATATATTAAAATCAAATCTAATCAAAAGATAAATCCCTATCAACTCACCAATGCACGATTGATCCTATAAATAAAGTGTCCTTGTATTACATGTTCAAATAGGCAGCAAATCTTGAATAAAATCATTCAACTTATGTCACCAATTTTGGACGATTAGCCGCGATTGGATCAACCCTATTGGAGACATACAAACCTATAATTAAGCATGATTTTTTTTTTTTAAATCCAAAATATATGCCTATATATATATATATATCTAATAACAAGAAAAATGTTCACTAGTTTATTCTTTTTATAAATTAATATTGTTATTGAATTCATATACATATTGACTTCATATATTTAGGAGCAAACGTAGGATTTTTATTATTATTTAAGGAAAATGGGGGAATGGAATGGCAAATCCTGCATTTTTCAACAAATAAAGGATGAAGCCTGTTTATTTAAAATTTATTTAAACCATCCCCTTTTTTCCGTTTTTTCCCCAAAATAAAAATCCAATGTTACTTGCTTACCTCTGAAATCTTTTTCATACATTACTTACTTGCGAAGTTGCATTTTAAAAAGCCTCAAGTGTGTATGACATTCATCTTATACTTGAAATGGTTCTTTTTTATAAAATTAATAGATTATTGAATTTCTTGAAAAAAAACTCTTGACTGTAGAGAAGTGAAAAAAATAGATTGTTTAAACTGTAACGTACATTAACTGGTATATGGCCACTGGTAACTGGTACATGGTCTCTAATATGTTTAATTTTGCTACTTTTTCTAAATGCAAAATGTACTACTTCTTTCTGAAACGTCAGATACAAAACAAAGATAACAAAAAAAGGCCGGAAACAACCTGCCAAATTTGTAGTCAGGTGAAGGTCCTCGGCTATCTATCGCATTGGACCTTCACCTGACTACTCGTACCAAAAAACTATCCGGCAACGGTTGTTACCGGCCTGTTTCTTCTTTACTTTTGTATTGCATCTAATACTTGACCACACTCGCTTGACGATCGTTCAAGATGAGACAGCATGTATAGTTTGCTTTGACCTTACTGGTCCTTTCTAAAATAAAAGTAATTTTAAAATTTCTATGACTCAATACGAAAACATTTTCAAATTGTGTATATACATGTATTACTGCAACTGGTAAAACAAAACAAATAAAGATAGTGTTTTATACATAATATTAGGCTTTCTCTGTCTTTCACTGGTCTGGAGTGTCTGTCAAATATATTTGCATTTGGTACATGAACATATTTACATAAATCCTTTTTCCCCATACAAATAATAAAACAGTATGAATAGGAATCATCTGTTAACATCCCTATTCTAATAAGGAACTGTTATCATTAGGTTCACGATAGACATTATGCAGTGTAATAAAACCAAAGACTAATTGTTTTACACATATACTTACCGTGTTATCCGTATGATTCATGGTCAGCCTTGCCAAATAGTATCCCACCAAATACTGTGGTTGGATCAGTATGAATGACTGTATGGGTACCAACTGATATTTTCATGTAACCTCCCACGAGGTGAGTCTCTGGTATTTTGTGATAAACTTGATCGCCAGCTAACGATCGATTATCAATTCTAAGGCCACTCGTCTGCGAGGAATCGATGATAAACATAAAATAGTTTGAATAATTACCGTGAGAATATTCCGGAGTTGTAAATGTATATTTAAAAGCATATTGTTCTATTGGAATGACAGTTATCATTGACGGATCAGCATAATCACCATGGCCTTCTTGTGTCATTGAAAACTGGAACACTGATATAGCTTTGTCAGTAATTATATGAGAGTACAAACCAGAACTATATAGTGTTTTTGGACGTAATGACCCGCTTTGTCAAGTTTGATATTGTCCTGAAATGGTTTTCCAGAGTTTAAACCAGAAACGTGTACGTGTGTGTCGGGTATTGGAACGGTGGCGAAATTATTACCCCATGACGATAACGGAAGTAACATTTCCACAAGATGATCGTGTGAGTTTCCATGCCCAATTGTGGTTTTCTTGTTTCGGCTTAATACGGCTATTGGCTTACTGGATACAATATTGGAGCCAGTTAAATCGTGCTTAGAACGAACCTGTAGTGTACTGAGTCTATCTAAAGTCATATTCATCCATTGATTACCATGATATGTGTGTCCATTCAGTGTAACACTTAAATGATGTATATCTGGTAAATGAATGGAACCATTTGTTTCATCATAAACCCCAATAATCGCACAGTAATGTGAAGCAGGGGAATACGAAACAGTATAATACTCTTTGCCAAGGGCGTCGATGGGCAAAGCAAGATAAACATCATCGGATCTTTCTTCTCTGTTAACAACATAAACTACGATTTCATCGTCCGCCTGAATAAGTACTGCTTTTTGAGTTAATTCGGTGTGATGTAAACGAAAACTTGTATTCAGTTTGACTAACTGAGTCTGACCATGCATCACCGAGAAAGTTTTGTAGAGTTGAGAATTCGGAATACCAGAAGCTGAAACATTGACATGAACAATTGTTTTCTTAGAGGTTGAAACATATATCTCGGGATTTATATTATTACCATGAATTACTTCGTTTTCGATAAAAGCAACTAAAAACTCCTTTCCTCTATTATCCAACACGGCTGAAAATATATAGACGTAATGTAAACATAAGGACGTTACATTTTATTTGTAATTAAAAAATGAATGACACAATTATTGTTCTTTAACTTTTATCATTTCCACTAGATCAATACACTCATTACTCATTGAGGCACTGTCTGTCCAGTAACCAGTGTCATAGAGGAAAGTGGATACGCGCAACTACAAAATAAAAATCTCAACCAGAAAGACCGTGCTCTGTTCATTGTCTAAGAAAAGCTATATTACTGTACATTTACCAAGATATATATACTCAGGTAGCTATCGTTGGTATTTGTTCTGTAATGTTTTTTTTTAAATGAACAGAGAACCAGGCCAAGGATACCCATATCCGATGGTGATGATACACAGTGTTAATATTATCAACTTAAATCTCGAAATTGTCTTTGATTTTGGAAATGATTTTATTCATTTATGGGTACATAAGTTTATATGTTTTCTTATGTTTTAAGGTGTATATAGTTGCTACAATTATACCCTATGGGTAGTGCTTCACAATTAATGGAGGAACATACAAGAAACTGAACTGAACTGAATGCTGACTTTAATCTTGATATCCTATTATTTAAATCTCATAATTATCGACTTCATAATCTTGGAATTAAATGAAAGCACTTAAATGAACATGTGCTCTTATCTTTTAGGATGGTCTTTATCTTATGTGACATACTGTAAAACGTTGACATTTGTTGGCTTTTCATTTTTTGTCAAGTGGTAATTCTGATGCAACCACTATTACTTTGTATATTGTTAACATTTCTCATCAAGAAAGTACATGACATATTTAGCACTCTATAATGTTACGCATTTCTAATTACAGTTACCAATACTTCTACTTCTACCAGAAAATCAAAATACCCCAAGTGAAGGTAATGAAATGCACTTAACAATCCTGATCAAGTATTGGAATGAAATAAGCATAAATGGATTGTAAAGAGCATTCCATTACTCTAAAAGAGAACTTCGGGTGGGTGGGGCGGGAAAAATGTCTTAGATATAAAGGTACTAGGCTACACTAATATCCAAATAACTTCCTTGGATAAGGTCCAATGATCTATATCATGTAGCAAAATTGAAAGTGAGGCTTGTAATCGTGCACAGTTACACTTCACTGAAGATGTCAACATACCCCAAGTGAAGGTAATGAAATGCAATCAACAATCCTGATCAAGTATTGGGATGAAATACAATTAGTACGGTACAAGGTGTGTTACGTCAAAGAGTTATCCATTATTCATAATTATAGAGATAAAACATATCACTAGAAAATAATACATCTTTATTACAAAATTCTATATCTGTAAAGTAAATGAAACTAAAATCATACACATGTTAACTATAAAAATATATGTATATCATAAACAAACAAATTTTTTCAATAATAGGCGATTAACTCCCTTATGTCACAATTAGATAGACCATGCAATTAATTAAACGCGGGACTCAAATCGTCAAATTGAGAATGGGATTCAAAAAATAACTGAGTAGCATTATTATTCTGATAGTTTACGGACTTTGCTAAATTACATGCAACATGACTTGCATCTTTAACAGTGCTCGCCCTAGTATAATAATGAGCCATTCTCTAAGATTTCCAGCCTACGTGGTTCAATACACCCTGTGTATTAGGCTTGTCATCAGAAAGTGCAAGCATGATAGCACATCCAGCTCTCATGCTGTGTGGAGTTTCATCTTCAAAAATACCAAGTGTGATGAGATAACCCTTGAAACGCTCATAGATAGAAGAATACGACACATGATTTTCGAGCACTCTACCCGATTCTGTAATTATTCTAAATAAATAGCCAGTTCTCAGGGAAATTCCGTGATTTTTCATGAACGTATAATAAGATTCAAGCCCAGAAACAGGACACACAATTTTATCGTCACATCTTTTCAGAACAAATGTGTTACACATATTTGATCCGCCACGCAATGTTTTCCAAAATGTGTGATTAAAAACAAAACCACTATCATCATCCAATTTCTTAACTTCTTGTGATAAGACAATAGCTACATCACTCGCTCTATCACCTGCAAAAAACTGTTATTTCAAAAGAGCTTGATCTCTTTGCAAAACAAATTTTTCCCGTTAAGTAAGGTCAGATCTATTCAATTCCCTACTAATATAGACGGCTATCGAACGGACTTTGTTTATAAATATAGGTTTTGCTTGTTTTGGTACAATGTAAGCTCTAGCTTGTTCATCCTGAACTGCTTTTAATATGCTTTTACTGGTTCCGAAGCAGCTGGGTTGCCCACATTTAAAGCTGCATTCCAAGCTCTGCCTCTGCCGACGGATTCGAATATGTCAGTAAGATATGAAATTAGGTTCTCAACAGTTCCTGAAGCCAATCGAATAGGACAAAGACATCTTGTAACACCCTTTTGACCCAAATTGATGCAC